TTAATCTTGGTTAATTTGCCCCTCATACCTATGTAATTTGCTTTGTTCAGATACAAGTTGCTAATTTTGGATTTGACCAAATTAATCTCAAAGTTGATTTTAAAGTTTGTCATATTATATTCGTTCTACCCTGGAGGCTCTTTTTGCTGCAAGGTTATTAATTAATCTTTTCTCACTGCACAATGATAGATCTAAAGCAGCCTGTTCCCTAGTTGGTTCCTAAATAATTAATGTAGTAAATGATCAGCTATACATTTCCATAAATTCACCCTTCACGCTAGCACTGCAAATTTGGTTTGGCAGTCAAATTGAGATTGAAGTCTTTCATGATTACCACATTACCCTTGTTACACGCACCTCGTATTCCAATCTGAAATACTGGTCAATCTGCAACCAGATTTCCATAATGCTTATTAGATCAAATGGATTAGTTGCCCGTTTTGGATCCACTGCATAGTTTGACCCAGATTGTCACTCTGCCTTACAGCCTTATCCATTTGGCATTTCTGGCTGACGATGGATGAAAATACTTCAACCTTGTCATTCGCACTGATATGCGGGATCCCCCATTGGGGGATGGGGGATGTGAATGGGTGATGTTTGTGGACTGGCCTGTTCCTTAGTTGTTACTCTAATTGTTCACTATGATTCACAGCAGGGTATGGTAGGAACTGCAGAGCTCAGATTTAATCTGTTGGCTGTGGGATTTCTTAGCCCCCTGCTTGTTGCGTGCTGTTTCTGTTATTTGGCAAGTAGCTTGAGTTTTAGCTTCACCTGCTTGACACCTTATTTTTAGGTGAGTCTGGTGGTGCTTCTGCCATTGACCCTGGTACTCTTCATTACACCAGGGTTGATTGCCCTGAAGTTTGAAGGTAATGGTAGAGGTGGGGGGGATATTCTAGGCCATTGAGTCACGGTTTGTTGGTAAATACAATTCTGTTGCTGCTGATAACCCAGCACTACCTGGATGCTGTTTGGAATTGCTAGAACTGTTTCAAATCAAGCACAATGATAACACGATGGAGGGTATCCTCAATGTGGAGGCAAGACATTATCTTGCAAGGACTTGCTTGCGCTGGTCAGCCCTCGTGATAGCACTGTGGAAAATGATTGATAGGTAAGTCAAGTGTGCTTTTTTTGGTTCACTTGCAACCTGCAAAAGGCCCAGTCTGACTGCTGTGCCTTTAGGACTCAGTCAGCTCAAATTACTAGTGGAGCTACTAAGGTCCAGTTGGTGTTGGACATTGAAATCTCCCGCCCAGAGGATATTCTAACCCTTGCCACTCAGCGCTGTCTCCAGGTAGTCAACATGAAGGAATACTGATCCATTAGCCAAGGGGAGCCAGTAGATGGTAAGCAACAGAAGGTTTCCTTGTCCTTCCCCACTGACTGTACACCACTTTGCCAGTGCTGCTAGGTCTGTCCTGCTTTTGGAGCAAAACCATACCTGTGGTATATAAGTATTACCTATGTATATATGTCAGTGAGAATAGGTGATAGTGGTGTCTGGGACATTTGTCTGCAAATTGTGATTCTGAGAGTATGATACAGTCAGGCTGTTGCTTGACTAGTCTGTGAGACAGCTGTACAAATATTGGCATCAATCCTGCAGATGTTAGTGAAGACTTTGCAGGGTTGACAGGGCTGTGTTTCTTGACATTTCTAGTATCTTGATCAATGCCAGTTCTGTCTGGTTTCATTCCTTTTCTTCGACTTCAGAGCAGTATATTACAACTGAGTGGCTGGCTCAGCATTTCAGAGGGCATTTAAGAGTTACCCACATTGCTGAGAGTCTGGAGTCACTTGTAGGCCAGATTTTGGTAAATATGATGGATTTCCTTCCCTATGAAAGAGATTTGTAAACCAGATTTTAAAAAAAATCATGACTGTCAACAAGGATTTTGTTGTTACCATTAAATTGAGATTATCAGTTGCATCACCAGCTGTGGCAGGGTTCAGTCCCATTTCTCTAGAGTGTTAACATTTGGAGGGATCTCAATTACTAATCCAGAGACATTGCCATTATGCCACTGCCTCCCGTTGTGGATGGTTCCTATGTGGACTGTGAAAACTACATCTTCCCTGTCCTATTACCAAGCTGTGTCCATTTGCAAGAAGCTTATCATAACCCTAGCAATAGACAGGGTGAACAAACCTAATCCCTATTCTATTCCCCATCACTGCATTTCATCCCATGCCAGCCTCGCAACTATAGTCATTTTCCTTATCTGCTCTGTATACTTGGTCCTCATCTACACAGGCAACATGAATCCTGTACCTTTTTAGGTAAAAGTAAACAATGTGGCACAGAAGTATGGACATTATCAATGCACTGTAGGAGCCCTGACTCAAAATATATGATTGCCTTGCTAATGTCTGTGGAATCACACTATTAAACTTGCTAATATATTTATTTAAGGTTAACAAGAAATAAGTTATAGCTATTAATTGTCTGAGCACATATAAAATAGAAAGCACCTCTAATACTGGGTGTGGGATGAGAGGTCTAAGTTTGAGGGAGTCCATAAACTCCTTCCACAAAAGATAATATGCTTTGATTTCAATCTCACCAGCTGGCTTGGAATCTATTAAAATGCCTCCCTTCCTTGGATTGTAATATCTGAATGTTGGACCCCAGTTCGGTAGCTCCATGTCCAAGTTTCTTGATTAAGTAACTTACCGTACATGTAATTATACAGGATTGTGATGCTCTCTGCAAACTCAGACATGCTGCCGTTGCAAAATACCAACCTTCGTTACCACCCTGTAAACAACTGTGTTTTTTTTATTTCATTAAGTTAAAGTTAAGATAAAATTCAGGGCTCCTTTTTAAGCTGCTATGGTTCCTGCTGTTTTAACATGTTTATTAATTCCTTTATTATTTAATTCCTATTTATGTATTTTAGATTTTAATTTAATGTCAACCTGTATCTCTTTAATGTTAGTATCCTCTGATCAGTTCATTTTAATTTTTTTCCCCTTCAACGTGATTGAATAAATTAAACTCAATTATGTGATCCGTTAAGCTCTTCACATCACTAGCTGTTAGTCCTTGGGCTCTAGCGCTGGTCTGACTGAGCTTTTTCAGATTTAGAATTCTTTGCAGTGACCTCATGTACTGGATTCCATGGTAGATTTTTAAAAAAAGTGGTCCTCAATTACTTATTTTTATAAATTCCATTGATCTCAGCAATTGCAGCTGGAAAATGTCTTTTTCTGGGAATATATCGATCAATTTACAAATGTTGTGACATGCCCGAGTCTTGTGCCAATTTCTTTTTGACAGCAGAACCATATCATTTAAATTTCGGTAATAATTGGCTCGATACAGACATCTGTGGTCTTGTGCAGTTTCTTCCCCAGGAAAGCAATTTGGAAGGGAAAAGAATTGTTTCAGTGTTTTTGATCTTCCGTTATTATGACCAAATTGAAGTGCATTCATGTTACTGGTTATAGGTGAATCTGGTCCTTCGGAGAAGTATTTGTAATTTACACTTGCAGCAGTTCATTTAGTTGCAGATATTCATGCTGTTCTTAAATTCAAGTTAAATTGACTCTACAACATTGTTTTGAGAAAAAAAATCAAACCTGGTCAATATGAATGCTCAGATTTATCAGTTAAATGAAGCAAGTTGATCAACACTTGTGCTCGAGAAGTGTGTTGAAGATTAATTCAGTACTTAGTGAGGAATTAATTCTTGATTGAACTCTCTAAAATTAACTTCTCATTGAAAACTTTTGTGAACTATGATCAAAATGGTGCATTCTTAAAAAAGAGTAAAATGAAAATAATTGAATCCGAGTAAAGCTGCAAACGATCAAAAGGGATCCATTTTAGCAAGAAAACGAAACACCCAGTGACATTAGTGTTACTTGGAAGCTGACAAGTTGCTTTATGTTGTGGGTGATTCATTTGTAAATAGAAGAGCTGCCCTCCTAAATTACATTGGCAACCAGACCTGATCTAGTAACTAAGGAAATTTTTTTGAGATTAGAAAGTAGTTAGGAGAGAGATTTTATCCTGTTTTGTTGTTTATGAATATGTGGTTAGTTAGAGAAGAAATGTTAGCAGCACTTTATTTTGCTTTCTCTCTCTGTCAATTTTGATCCTTGACCATCTCCCTCACCCATGCGCCCCTGCCATTGACATGGTGGGGAGCTATTCAGGGTGGCATAGTGGCTCAGTATTCAGAACTGCTGCCTCACAGCACCAGGACCCAGGTTCAGTGCCAGCCTCGGGTGATTGTCTGTGTGGAGTTCACACATTCTCCCCCTGTCTGCGTGGGTTTCCTCTGGGTGCTCCGGTTTCCTCCCACAGTCCATAGATGTGCTGGTTAGGTGGGTTAGCCATGGTTAAAAACTCCATTCGGGTTTACAATGGAGGGGGTGGGTCTAGATGGGATGCTCTGTGGATGGTCACTGGAGACTTGATGGACCAAATGGCCTCTTTCTGTAGGGATTCAATGATTCTATTAATACACAGAACACATATGAGCTCAATTTCCTGTCACATGCACTTTGTGACAAGACCGCTATTTAATGACCAGGGATAGAAAACCTGCCTGATTTTATTCTTGTATCCTTTTCTACTCCAACTCCTTGAGGTGTGAGTGTGTGTCTACCGAGAAACTTGTACTTAAAAACAAAAAGTTTTAAATAGCAATTGTAAGTTTGTCTTATCAGACTATTGATAAATATTGTTTCTATTGCATGTGAATTTCAGACAAGCGTTATCTGAGGTGACCGCAGCCTTGCGTGAGCGGTTACTTCGCTGGCAGCAAATTGAGAAAATTTGTGGCTTTCCAATCGTGCACAATTCGGGAATGCCGAGTCTGACCTCCGTTCTGTATTCTGAGCACAGTTGGGTTGTCATGCCTCGAGTCTCTGTGCCACCATATCCAATAGCTGGTGGAGTAGATGACTTGGATGAAGATACGCCACCAATCATTCCACAGTTCCACTGTAAGTTACAAATTCCATCTCCTGACAAAAGTGAAAATAAGCATCTAAGATCTTGACGTTTCGCATTCAGCTGAGGAATGGGATAGGATTAGACAGAAGTTATTTTTCATTCTGTTACTCCCAGAAAATTCTTATCCGGTTCAACAATTGTCACTTTACATTTCAGAATTGGATCAGGAAAAGAGCATTACTATTTGAAATTGAATACTTCACCAAAAGCTTTATTGTGGTTCTATATTTATGAATCATAATTTCATTGTCTGGTGAATACAGTGAATTATCATTTAATGTTTTTAAATCAAAAGTAGAAATCACCCATGGAACTCATAACAGTCCATTACTTATGTTATTTTATTCTTGTAACTAACTGGCATAACATACAATTACAACTGTAGTATCTTGCGTTTAATTTGCCATTTAACACTTCACTACATTTAGGTTGTTATTGGGCATTCAGCTGGATTTTAAAGAAGCAAAAAACATTGAGATTCCTCTTCTTTCAGTTCCTTGTTCCTTTTGCAAATTTTCTTAGTGCACTTTCTTTCCCATGTGACATCACATTGTGAATCTTAAACTAACATAAGTTAAAACTAATATTTTTATCTCATGAAATAGGCTGGCTAACTGTTATGACTGAAATATAATGGCCCAGATTCTGCAGTTGGTTCTCATATGTGGGATTCGTTGTCCATTACATGCCCATGTACCTTATTGTGCTTTTATGCTGCACCTTATGGTAGCCAGATGGGCTTTTCAGAGTACAGTCCTCTACACAGTATTGAATCTGAGATTAAGCAAGCAACAACTTTGTTCTTCAACTAGTTAAATTGAAGAATCTTTTCTGTAGTGTGCAGAGTTTAAACTAGCGAGTATAAATTAGATTATATATTTCTATTATGTAAATCAAATACAGGAAACAAAGAGGGGGTAAAGGTTGGGATTGAGTAAGAGAGTTAAGAAATGGGAAAAAATGTTTTCCAGAAATATTCTGTTTTAAGTCTTAAACATTAACTGAAATATAAAGGAGTAAAATTCCACAAGTGCAAAAGTAAGTTTTCAGTGATCTAGAAGAGGTTTGGTAGCATTCAAGATTAACAAAAGTTACGGAATGTAATACTTGTCCCTCAGCATTTGCAACAATCCTGAAATGCACGTACCGGAGGTAAAACTGTATGCACTGCTGCCTCTGTTGCCTATTGAATGTTCTTCAACATTGTCATGTGAAGGTCAGAGTTCTCAGCAAGGACAAAGTTTAAACAAAGAGTTGACTTAAAACGTATTTCTTAGAGGTAAGGCAAGTGATTAATGATGTCACAAAAACAGCCATTGTTTTTATCACTTCCAGATTTTTAATGTTCAATCGGACTAAACAAGGCAAGTGTTGAAATACACTTGAAAGCCAAATCACTTGCTTTGCCTCAGTGTCGTGTTGCTTTAGGAGCATAAAACTAGCTAATTCAAATTTCTCCCAAATGTTTGTGTACTTCTAGTGGACGCTGAAGTTATGTAGTGGAATAGATGACATTATTGTGGATCATAGTGTCCACACTGCTCTGTATCATGCTGTTATCTAATCAACAGAAATAAGGTTCAGAATAAACCTTGAGACTGGGATTTAAAAATGCATGAAGTCTGCTTCAGATGTCTTAATAGTAGTTATGTGAAACCAAGAAAGTTTGCTGACCCTTTAAGAAACATTGGTTTAGCCTCAGATAGAATATTATGTCTAGATTTGGTATCAATGGATTTATGTTATGTGGGGAGAGTGATGAAGTTGGGATTGTTCTCTATAGAATAAAGAAGCTTTAAGTGGAGATTCAGTAGGGGTATTCAATATTAGTAGGATTTTTGGTAGAGAAATGAGGGGAAATGGTTTTTGCAGGCGGTGGGATCAGTAATCAGAGGACAGGGCTTTAAGATAATTGGTAAAACAAACCAAAGGAAAGTAGAGGCAAGTTTTTTTTTTACCTTTATTCATTAATGGGATAAAGATGTTGCTGGCTAGGCAGCATTTGTTGTCCATCCTTAATAGTTCAGGGTCAACCACATTGCGGTGGGTCTGGAGTCACAGGTAGGCCAGACCAGGTAAAGACAGCAGTTTCCTTCCCTAAAAGGCATCAGTGAACCAGGTGGGTTTTTCCAACAATCAACAATGGATTCATGTTCATTAGATTTTTTAAATCTTGGTGTTTTTATTGAATTCAAATTCCACCATCTGCCATGGCAGGATTTGAACCCAGGTCCTCAGATGTTATCTGGGTCTCTGGATTAACAGTCTAGCAATAATACCACTAGGCCATTGCCTCCCTTGGTTTATGCAGCTAGTTGTTGTAATTTAGAACACACTGTCTGAAATTGTGGTGGAAGCAGATTCAGAAGTAACTTTCAAAAGAGAATTGTATATATTTGCAAAGGAGGAATTGGGGGACGGAAGACTATGCAGAAAGAGCAGAGGATTAGGTCTATTTAGATAGATCTTTCAGAAAATTTGCTATGGGCATGATGGGATAAATTGCTGCATCCTGTACACTGCAACATGAACTATCCTTCATTTGCCACTGATTTGACAGTGTTCTTTGGGACAGGGCACATAAACTGTACTGTATTGTGGCTAAGCACTTCTGATTGTCAAACTACTAATAGCGTAGGTACTTTCTCTTACGTTTTTTTTAAAATATGGAGCATTTGATTAAAATGATTAAACTTTATTAATTTATATAAAGAAAATTGCAAATTATAAATGCATCACAAACTGTTATTTGTCTGAACTTTATAATAATATTCGAAATGCCAGTTACATGTATTAAATTAATCTAATAACTATTTTGGTTGTATGCTCGTAAGCAAGTGATTAAATTCATTGCCACAGGTAAATATAATGAACTAAGATTTAAACAACAAAAGGTTAGTCCATTCAGCCCCTTCAACCTTTTTTGCTTCTCTGTTAGATCATGGCTGATCTGTACCTCGTCTCCATTTATGTGCCATAACTCCAAATTTTATCGATACAGAAATCAATTAATTGCAATCTTGAAATTTTTAATAGACCCGGCATCAGTAGCCCTTTTAGTGACCGACTTCAAGATTTCCAATATCCTTTTATGTAAACAAAAAACTTCCTGATTTCCCTTCTAAATGGCCAAGCTCTGGCTCTTGATTTTGACCACCATCATTGTGTACCCTATTGAACCTCGTCAGCATCTGCCAATATCAGTTCATGACTCAATTATCTACAGTTGAGGGAATATAGAATAGTTTTTTTCCTAATCTGCTCTTGTAATTTAACCTTCTTCGCCCCAGTCTGGCAAATTATATATTTGCATATTAAAGATCACTGGAGTTTAAACCCTGTTTCTAAATGTTTGTGTGTGTGTGTTTTTTTTTCCCAGCAGTAGCTCATAGTAAACTCAATTACAATTTACCAAAAAGCAGCAATCAAGGACGCAGTCGGAGGACCAATGTTATTTCTTCGGGACTTCCACCTTCCGTGCAGTCCTCCACTCCTGATATCTTCGTAACAAATAGCTATTCGACCCTTCGTACTGAGGAGGATGAAGATGCCATATTCTTCACAGCTGACAGGAATTGGTGACTAGATTTTTTTGTGTGTTCTGGAATGAGTTGAAACAAATTAATATTTCTTTATTGCTTTGTTCAGCCGTGAGAGAGCATTGTGGAAATTAAATGAGGACTCAGTTATTTTGCCATTGTTAGGCATAAATACCCCAAAACATGAACTGTACAAGCTTACTGATAATACAGCGTGCAGGTGACTATAAATTAGAGACAATTCAGATAAATTGGAATAAAATTTGGATTTTCAAATTCATATTGCATGGATTACCGGTCAGGCCCTGGAAAATGTGCATGTTTACATATCCTAATGTGGATTTAAATCCTGGGATTCATCAGTTCTATGAAGGGAGAGACTGGATCTATTCCCATTAAGTGAACTTTCATGTCTTAGCCTACTTATCACAGAACTGTAACTAAGCTGCAACAGATAGGAATAAAAAATTCTAATATAGCAGTGGTAGAAAATTCCATGAGAATAACCCCTACAAGACTTAAATTGCCATCTTGAATCAATAATTTAAATTGTACAAATATTTGAGGATAGTCTGGAGAGCTTTACATAAGCATTTCAATTAATATATGTCTGTAACTGTGGATAGCCATCATCTGCCTCACTAGAGTTCCTGGAGTTCTCCTGTTCTATGTGATGGTCAATATGCACATTTTGCATTTTCAAAATGACCAGTCTGAGACTAGTTGTGTTACTTTAAAACAATGAGTAATTTAAAACGGTGCACTTTATAAATTGGCGTAACTGCACAACATGCCTATCTGTGTGGTTTCCCTATTTACTGAGTTCTCCAAAAGGGAGGGAAAAGCAGAGAGTGAGCTAACCTGAGCCAGTCTTGTACAAATCCCCTAGGAAGTGCTGGCTAAACAGCATGGCTAAAGGCATGGCCAAGTAATGATGCACCTTGTGCAAGTTTCTAAACGGATACCCTTGAAAGGGTAACTGATGATGCCAATCGGATTTCAGAAGTCTGCAGAATGTTTATGAGCCTTTAATCTGTTAATCTGAATATAAAACCACTATTCAAATACTCCCTATTAACATCTAGCACAGATGAGCAAATTGGGAAGAACATGCAAAATTCAACATCAGTTTTTGGCCCGTTATAGTGCGTTGCATATTTAAGCTTCATTATCCATTTTTTTCCTTTATACAAAAGTTTGTTCTGCATCTGTAATAGCGTGCAATTGTTAGATGGATTGATGGGGGAATCAGGAAGAAAAGCTTTGCGTTATGGTCTGTAATGGAAAAATGCACTGGTTTTCTTCCAGTGAGATTGCTATCACTAGGGGTAAGGGTACTGAGCCAAACTACTGAGATTAAAGACAGATGAAACTCTAGGGCCTAATGGCCTACATTCTAGGAAGGAAGTGATTGTGAATGCGTTGGTTTGAATACGCCAGAATTTCCTGAATTCTGGAAAGGTATCAATAGAATGGAAAAATACTAATGTAACGTCTATTCAAAAAAGGATGGAGACAGAAAGTAGAAAACTATAGACCAGAGATAGTAGGAACTGCAGATGCTGGAGAATCTGATACAACAAGGTGCAGGGCTGGATGAACACAGCAGGCCAAGCAGCATCATAGGAGCAGATGCTTGGCCTGCTGTGTTCATCCA